CTGTGAAAGGTTCTTTCGACCGCCAAGGGGGTCGCGACCCACCGGTTGAGAACCAATGTTAGCCCCTCGCCGCAATTTGGTGCCCCTAAACGGCTCTTATAAAAAATTTTGGAACTGACACTGATTTCACACTGTCGATGGGAGAGAATAATCTTTTTTCCCCCAAGTTGTACTGAAAAAAAATTCAAGCACTTTTTATTTTTTTGAAATTAGCCTTTTCTCTCTCTCTCCCACTTGACCCCTTAGCACAGGTTCCAAGGTCCTCAACAGCTGACCAACTGCTTGGGTCAAAGGCAGAAGAAAGGGACGTGCCCCGGGAGGGAGGAGAGATTCCGGAATGGGGCCCAGCTCTTGATTTCTGTGTCTGCCACTGGCATTCTGTAAGAAAGGTGGACCCGGCCTCGCAGGTACCGGTCTGGACAAGAAATTTTTAGGTAAGATCTTAGATATCTGATTGTGGCAAATGTCTTCCTAACACCTGTCCAGTGCCTGGGGAAACCCGCACACTGGGAGAGACGTAAAATCCGGCCTGGACTCCCTATTCCCGAAGCCCTGCCACCGGGCTCCGGGCCCCGCCCCGCAAGATTGCGCAAACTCAGTGGCGACCTCTCTAGCTCCCTTCCTCCCCCACCTCCTCCAGCAGCTGTCAAAACCGGACCGCGGACTTCCTGGAGGCCCCGGACGCCGCTCTGCGCATGCTCAGCAGTAGCCGGGGTGGAGAATACGCACGTGCATACGGACTGTCGCGGCGCCTGCGCGGTAGCCGCGGTCGCTGCCCGGAGTCGGTGCCCTTAGGACGCCTTTCGCACCTTGACGCGGCCTGTCCGCGCTAGCCGGTTGGGGTTCAGTGTCCGGTGCACACGCCCTGCAAGCGACGGCGCCATGAGCCTGTCTTCCAACGTACGAGGTGAAGTGGGGCCTGGGAGCGGGTGAGGCTGGCGGCCTGCGCGCCAGTGCAGCCTCGTCAGCGCCTCTCCTGGCTGTTACCGCTGCTCCGGGCGTCCGCCGGTCTGGTCACCTTGAGATGCCCAAGGGCAAGCTCTTGGCCGACCTGCGGGCTGCCTGGGCCGAACGGGGAAAGTGGTGTGGATTGGCGGTATCCCCGGGCATATTTTGGCGTGGGGACCATGCAGACATCTCTCTACCCAGGTCCGGATCAGGTTTCCGCTAACTAGCCAAACCCTAAAACCTGATGATCCCGCCGCTAGCTTTTCTCTCCGGAGCCCCCTCTGTGTTCTGAAGGAATAGGGCTTGGGGGGGAAAAAAAAGAAAAAAGGAGAGGAAAAACAAAACAAAAACCTGTTTCCCCCTTCTCACGTGTAAATCACCGTGGAGTCTGAGCGTGTATTGCCGGCAACCCTGAAGGGATGCATGACTAATCACATTTTAGTTTTGCACATTTTTTTTTTAAAGGGAAGAAAGCCAATCCGAGATCTTAAGTTTTCCCAGTTTTTCATTATGCCTCTGGCATCTGGCGCTTCCTGGCTGTAGTCCAGGAGAGAAGATTGAAAGCCGAGCTCATGGAGCCTTTCTTTTCTTTTTTTTCCCCAGCCTTGCTCCCCATGTGCTAGTACCTAGCGTTTGGAAGTGTCACTTCACAGAAGGTCCAATTAAAATTAAGAGACTTTCTGGAAGTCAGTTAATGTGAACTTCATTTCATAACAATTCTTGGTGGTGTTATAACTATTATAATACTGTGCACCAGCTATACGATACATGTGATCTCTCTCTCTCTGCCCAGTATAAAATGCTACACCTCAAGGTTTGGTTACCTGTAACAGTAGTTAAGTAAATGTAAAGAGATTGCCCAGAAGTTAATTAAAACGAGCCCAATTGATTTATTCAGTAAATATTGACTACCTAGAATGCCAGTCTGTAAAAGATTCCTACTCGTTTGAGCCCTAATTTTGTAATAGATTCTATACATTGGAGAATTCCTCTTCTGTTGCCAAAGTTACTGTTAGAGTGAGGGTGACAACCCATGACATATTTAAGTTACTAATGAGGTATATATAGGAGGTGATTATTTGCAAAAATTAGGTCAAAGGAGACTCATCTTGAGTCTCAAATAAAGGCACCTCAGTGCATTTAAAGTAGGGATTGATTTTTGTATGTGTGTTTTAAACAAACGTGTATTTTCTCAGGAATAAGACTATTGTGTAAAATAGGATACTCGTGTGACTTGAGCCACTGATCTAACCGTAAGGGAATCTACAAGTGACTTTCCCATTAGTTTGCAATTTTCTAAGGGGTAGGAAATTGCTTGGTGAAGAGGGTTATTAACTTACAGTATAGTTGTTATGAGAAGTAGCTGTGGACTGACTGTCCCCAGTTCTGGTCAAGGACACATGCCAGGGTTGCAGGCTCAATCCCCAGTGTGGGGCGTGCAGGAGGCAGCCGATCAATGATTCTCTCTCATCATTGATGTTTCTATCTCTCTCTCCCTTCCTCTCTGAAATAAAAAATAAGTAAATAAATAAAACAAACAAATAAAAGCAGAACGGTTGTTATGAGGATTCTGGGAAACGGCCCAAGACCTTTGTAAATCTTTTCTACCAGCACCTTCTTTCTCAGATATAGTTGTGTGGCAAAGTAAGGACAGAAAATGTCTCGGGAATCCACCTTGTAATGATAAGAGCTCAAATTGTTCTCTCAAGTTTTAAACCAAACCTGTTAGTTTTTACTAGATTGAAAATCATTTTAGGTCATTTGATTTTGGGGAAGACGACCATGCCTCTTCTTAGTTAATTTAGTTAATAATTATAAAGAACATAGAATAGTATTTGACAATGGTAACCACAATATAAGTATATGTATGTGTGTGTGCATACAAAATTCTTGTTTATATTCAGAAGAAAATAGTGGGTTATGAGTAAAAGTGATGGGCCTCAGGCCAGAACATGAATCTGGGAGAAGTAATGAGGATGAGTGACTGAAATTGATATCCAAAGATCTCACTCATTGAAATGGCTCTTGACCATTTGGTCTATTGTACTAAACTTGTATTTCCTTATTGGGGTGTAAGTGATATGCTTATACCAAACTCACTTTTAATTTCCTATCAGATATTTTATTGTAATTTATTATAGTTTCTATCATTAAATGGCTTTTACTACTAAGGAGCCCTCGCTAAGGACTCCTCCACATACTTGATAGACGAAGTTTGCTAAATATTTTGCTCTTCGATACCTCCAAAACTCACTGAATCTGCTCTCATCTGTAATCCTTCCCCTTAACTGAGGTCATTCTCCACGTCTTCCAGTTCCCATTTTCTCCTGCTTCCTTAAACTCTTGCCTCACTAATGATATCTAGTGATCTAAGTCCTGTCACTCAGAGGTTTTCTTCTCGTCAGCCCAAAGCAACTCATAATTCACCCTCATCTTTAAAAAGAAAAAAGAGCCAACTTAACCAAATACAGGTGTTAAATGTATACACACTTTAACAGCTGATAGCTCAATTTTGAAAATGATATGGATTTTAATAAACACTGCCTTTATAATTATTCAAAGTGTGTGTGTATACATTTTTTGGGACACCCTATATTTTAAAAGGCCTTCCTTAATCTGTCCCCTCAGATCACTTTTTTTCATACTTTGCTTTATCCTCAGATTACAAAATAGGTGTTCATTTATCTACCTTGTGTTTTATTATTCATCCCAAACCTTGAATGCCACAGTGTGTGCAACCAAAACTAAATTTCATAAATTCTTACTCTCTAACTTTTATATCCTTGTTTATTTTACTAAAACTAAATCATTTGGATTTAATAAATTCCTTGAGTCATTTAAAGTAACTGTTTAATGGTTTGGCGTTTTGAGAAAGAATGTACAGATCTGACAATAAAAAAGAAGCTCCTATGCGTTATAAACAAGTAACTAGGACAGTGATGGCGAACCTATGACACGCGTGTCAGAAGTGACACGCGAACTCATTTTTTTGGTTTTCTTTGTTAAATGGCATCTAAATATATAAAATAAATATCAAAAATATAAGTCTTTGTTTTACTACGGTTGCAAATATCAAAAAATTTCTGTATGTGACATGGCACCAGAGTTAAGTTAGGGTTTTCAAAATGCTGACACGCCGAGCTCAAAAGGTTCGCCATCACTGGTCTAGGAGGTTTGTGAGATAGAGGAAACAAAATTGTGGTGAGCTGATATTTCTTGGAGCTGAGTAAATGAGAGTTCGTTAGAATATTCTCTGTGTATGTCTGAAACATTTCATAATAAATGTTTTTATTTTTAATCTCAGAAAATATTTAAATTTCAAACTTTGAAACAATAGATTAATGTGAGGCCAAAGATAAGTTATTTGGTGTAAGAGCAATGTGATGGTCTGATAGGCAGATGGAGCCATAAAATGAAGTTAGCAATCTATTATTTCTTCTTACACAATTTATATTGTATACCATCTGTATGCCAGGTCTTGAGAGAAAACATTACCAGGTACAGCCTACCAATCTGGGGGAGACCAAGGGAGGGAAAGATTTAAACACAGCTCCCCTCCCCCTCTCCTGAGATGAAAAGAACATTTTGATTCTGTGGCAGTTGACAGACTGGAGTGAACAGTTTGGGGCAGAAAGGAACTAAAGGAAAAGAAGCAGGGTGAGATTTCTGTGTAAATTAAAGCAAAATAATTCCCACACTAGAGAAAATCAGGATGGGTTATAAATAATGGTGTAGGATTTTGGAACAGTTCATATTTTCTCTATCTCTAAATAATTCTAACAGATAAAACCAGAGATTATACAGTAACAGGCCAAGGGAAGAGTAAGGCAGGTAGAAATTATTTAGGAATGTATCTGTATTTTGTTCTTTATATTGGCTTAAGGTATTTGTGTAGATAGAAAGCATTGTTAAGGAAGGTTGGATAAGCTGGGATTTGATCTAACTATAAGGAATACTGTACCTTGAGAGATGCCTATAGAAAAATGGAAGTGAACATAAACCGGAAAAGACAGCTGGGCCGGTGAGACTCAGTGGTTAAGCATTGACTTATGGACCAGGAGGTCATGTTTCGATTCCTGGTCAAGGTACATGCCCGGATTGTGGGCTTGGGATGTGTACAAGGCAGCTGGTTAATGATTCTCTCTCATCATTGATGTTTCTCACTTGCTCTCTGAAATCAATAAAAATATATTTTTTTAAAAAAATAAAAATAAACCAGAAGAAACAGAAATAATGTCAGGAAGTTGTCAACTGAAATGTCTTTAAGAATTAGATCTTAGAACTGGCTGGGTAGTTCAGTTGGTTAGAGCATCCTCCCGGTATGCCAAGGTTGTGGGCACATACAAGAATCAGCCAATGAATGCAAATCGATATTTCTCTCTTTCCATTCCTCTCTCTCTAAAATCAATCAATCAATCAATAAAAAATTTAATTGGGTCTTGGTAAAGTCCCTGTTGCCTCTAAGGTTGTATTTATTCTTAATATATACTAACAAAGACTAAATGTTACTTTGTTTTTCAATTCTTTCTCTATTCTAATTGATAGCTTTTGAATCCATCATCATTCTTATATATCTTCATGTAGTTTCCTTTTCCTTCTTTTCCCTCATTGCCAGTGATATCCACAGCTTTTTGCCAGAAAAGGCTGTTTGAGGCTGCAGTAATAAAATCATAAACAGCATTTTTCTTATTCTGAGAAATTTTACATTTGTCTCTAAAGAGCCTAGAGAATTAGAATTTGGGGAGGAAGACAAGAAGAAATGGAAATTCTTTTCTTAATACCTTCTCTAGTTCTGTAATTCTAAGAAAAACTCACTGGAGCAAATACAAAGCCGTTTTCCTAGCAGGTGTGTGTTTGTGTGTGTGTGGCATTTACATAGGGTCACAGAGTGCCTGTTTTGATTCCTCATGGAACAACCACTCTTGGGTGATACCTAGAGTCAGTTCCTATTTCTTTCATTTACTATTGCCTCTGTTCCTTGTCAGTTATTCTATTATTTCTTCTCCATCAAAAAAATCCAGGAGAACTAAATGTTTTCTAAAAAATGTTTAAAAAAAAAGGTTACCATATGGATTAAGTTGGTTATATATATAAAAGCCTAAGCGACCAAATGACCGAATGATCCGGTTGACCAGTTGCTATGACGTTCACTGACCACCGGGGGCAGATGCTCAACGCAGGAGATGTCCTCCGGTGGTCAGTGCGCTCCCACAGCCAACCTGTATAAGGTAAGAGAATAGAAGAATATTGTAATGAGTAAAAAATATTCTTTTGGCCTATTATAAGTTTCAGGTAGAAAATCCTATCGGATTCTCTTTTTATATTGTGAGACAAATTAATACTAGTCAATTGGGGTTCTTTGGGTCTCAGGCTTTTTGTAATATGTAGGCGCCATTAAAATAAATCAGAGATTGCTTCATGATTCACCTAAAAAGTAGAGTGCAATTAAGATCAACAGCATTTAAGGAATTGTGTTAGCCTTTCAGGATATTCCCCCTTTTAAATTTCTTTTAAAGATAATATTCAGCAAACATAACTGAACATATACTATATAAAACAATATTTTAGCCCATTTTGTGATAAGTACATTAATATTCAGAGTGGCTTTCTATTAGCAAAGAAGTGGATTACCATAGCTCCTGACTTAGAATATTTTCTTGAGGACGTTCCAAGGTAAATAATGCATCAAAAAGAAAGCTTATTACCTGGACAGTGTGGCTGAGTGGTTAAGTGTTGACTTGTGAACCAGGAGGTCACAGTATGATTCCCAGTCAAGGCACATGCCTGGTTGTGGGCTCAATCCCCAGTGTGGGGCGTGCAGGAGGCAGCCAATCAATGATTCTCTCTCATCATTGATGTTTCTATCTCTCCCTCATCCTTCCTCTCTGAAATCAATAAAAATATTTTTTTAAATTAAAAAAAAATCATGAATCAAGCTAGAAATTAGAGCAAAGTTTCAGCCCTGCTTGGAATTGCCATGGGGAAATACTGTGAAGCAGCACTAAAATTCAAGACAAACCTACACAAAATGTTCAGTTAAAACACATCCTTCAGTGAGGCCAAAGGTTTGAAGCTGTCAAATGACTTATTAACTTGTTTTCTCAGTCATGCAGCACCTGGGAAGAACATAGCATTAATGTTTATTTTATGGGATTATAGCGAGGAGGAATGGAAATGTTGGGGGAAGGAAAACAAACTAAATTACTTTGTAGAGAAAAATGCTGTAGTTGAAAATAGAATACAAGGAACATGTTAATTAGAAGCATTGGTAAACACTAGATTATTAAGTAAGCTAAGAGAAGACCAAGATAAAAGAAACTAAGTGTGAGAATAGTTATTCTCTTCCCGTAGAGTTCTGTAAGAATTAGTTCCAATTTTATGGAAGGCACTGGTGGGTACGATGGTTAATAAGACATTTGACTGAATAGTGCAAATTAAGCCATGCAGTTAGTTACTCATTATATGTTTTTACTTGGCCTGGGAATGTGTTTTTTATACTTATCTCTCTAGGGCTTTATTTGATAGTCTGGGAACTTATTTCAAACACTATGAAGATCTAACTCAGGAAGTGCTGGGAAGCAGTCCAGTGTGTTTATCCTGACCCCTGTTCAACTTTTTCCTGCAGTCCACTCCGTGCTGGGAATAGACAGCTGTCCTCTGAGGCTGAGGCTAACCAGACTATGCAGAACTTTCTCCTCTCCAGCAGTCTCTGGATATGGGGTAGCTGTTAAGTGCTTGGGTTTCTAAGGGCTCCTTGAAAAAGAAAGCTATGTAGAAAAAATAAATAGATGGCCTGTTGCTCAAGCCAATAATTGAGTAGAAAAATGTCATTAAACTTATTTTTTTTTATTTTTCAATTACAGTTGACATTCCATATTATTTTATATTAGTGTCCGGTGTATAGCTTAGTGGTTAGACATTATATAACTTACAAAGTGATCCCATGATAACTCTAGTTCTCCCCTGGCACCATACATAGTTATGACAGTATTATTGACTATATCCCCTATCCTGTGCTTTATATCCCTGTAACTACCAACTTGTACTTTTTAATCCCTTCGCCTTTTTCACCCAGCTCCTCAACCCCCAAAATGTCATTAAATTTAAAATGAACTTTGTAGGGAATTTAGATAATCATCCACTGATGGATAATGAAAAATCGGAATTTATTAAATGAGAATATAACTGTAATTATATTACTCATGTTTAATATGAAACTAGTCCATTCTGATTTTTATTTTAATGAGACGGCACTTTGAAATTTAAAGAAGCAACTTCTTAATGACTTTGGAGCCCAGAATCATGTCGGATTTATCCCTTTGAATGTTTACTATTAAGGGTGGTTTTGTATGTATTTTTTAGAGCAGTTGGTATCTATAGACTCACATGTTATTTTAAATCTTTTTATGAACTCTTTAAAAATATTATTAAACCTTGTTTTTCTCTACCTATAAAGTGATTTTTAAGTTTCCCTCTTCTGTTGTAATTTAGCTATCATTGCTATGGGCTGGGGAAAGTGTTAACAAAGTTTTACATCAGTGTGTTCTGACCATAAAGTTAATATTAAAAACCAACTTTGATTATTGAGATGCTAAATGCTCAAAAATTGGATTTCCTGAACATTATATTAGATTATTAGTGTATATTTTATACATATTTATCAATAATTTTGATAATTATTCCTGTTTTTCTTCTCTGCTCTAGTTGAATGGATCGCAGCAGTTACCATTGCTGCTGGAACAGCCGCAATTGGTTATCTAGCTTACAAAAAATTTTATGTTAAAGATCATCGCAACAAAAATATGGTTAACCTACATATTCAGAAAGATGACCCCAAGGTCGTACATGCTTTTGACATGGAGGATTTGGGAGATAAAGCTGTGTACTGCCGTTGTTGGAGGTCCAAAAAGGTGAGGAAATAAGTCCTTTATGTTAGTACCATTTTTAATGAAATACTTCTTTTTTTAAATTATTCTATCAAACAGGTTTCACCAGATAATGTTAAGATAGCCAGCCCTTTTTAAAAAATTTTTGATGGATCCTGTTCTTCTCTGTTTTCCTTATACTCTTCAGGAATATCGTTACTAAAATGTATAACCACTGCCCTGCTGGTTTGGCTCAATAGTTGAGCATCAACCCAAGAACTATGAGGTCACGGTTCAATTCCCAGACAGGGCATATGCCTGGGTTGCAGACTCGATCCCCATTGTGGGGCATGAAGAAGGCAGCTGAGCAGTGATTCTCTCTCATCATTGATGTTTCTATCACTAGCTCTCTCTCTCCCTTCCTCTATGAAATCAATAAAAATATATTAAGAAAAAGTGGAAATGGAAAAT